CGTGTAGTTGTAATGCAAGTAGTTTATTCATGTAGTTGTAATGCAAGTAGTTTATTCATGTAGTTGTAATGTAAGTAGTTTATTCATGTAGTTGTAATGTAAGTAGTTTATTCATGTAGTTGTAATGTAGTAGTTTATTCATGTAGTTGTAATGTAGGTAGTTTATTCATGTAGTTGTAATGCAAGTAGTTTATTCATGTAGTTGTAATGTAAGTAGTTTATTCATGTAGTTGTAATGTAAGTAGTTTATTCACGTAGTTGTAATGTAGTAGTTTATTCATGTAGTTGTAATGTAAGTAGTTTATTGTTCTTGTTGACCTTTACTGGTCGTTTACCAACTTTTCTATGTGAATACAAAACCGTTATCAATCTTCATAGTTTTTTATAATGTAGGGGCGATTTTTTTTTGTTTTTTTTTTTTGTCTGGTGTATTGTGAAAGATTGGTTTGTGGTTTTGTTAAATAAGTAGTAAAATGGTCACTTCTTCTACCTTCAGTCTGTTCCGGTCAATAAAACAGGAAAGGATGGGTCCCCTGATCCAAACCGCATTGCTCACTTTGTACAGTAAGTGGACTTACTGATGTCTCAGACACTCAGAATTAGTAATTTTAAAGTTCGTGTCGCTGTTGTTATTTTGCAAACTCAAAATTCTTTATTTATCATAAAAGCAGGAAGTAAACTCATTGAGACTGTGGCTTTAGTTTCAGAGGGCTCGCGGTACGATCAAGAGAGTTTGAAATTATTTCTACAAATATGTTTATTATTCAGAACTTCTATATACTACGTTAAATGGATGAAATCAACAAATCAAACCGCAGTTTTAAGTTTATCTGAAGAGTCGGAAAAACAATGTTGTAATCTAGTTTTCAAATGATTTTTACAGCGAATTTCCAAATAAAAAAAATCTGACCCGGGCGGTCGCAATATTATTTTGCAGCTAACCCTCGACCTTGCGGGATAACAAGAACAACAACAACATTCAGTTTGTTCGTTTCAGGTTTTCGCACAAAGCTACACAAATGCATAGTAGCTTTCAAGTTTGAACTGATAGACTAGAAGGAAGACAACTAACGAACAGCACCCACCGCCAACTCGCGGGCTACTCTAATTTGGGCTACTATTGCCTAACCGGATAGTAATTTTACTGTTACTCTTATAACGCACCCATATCTCCAAATAAAGTCGGAAGGGAATCATTATGTTGATGTATTATCTTTTTCTTTATGAAATTGCAAAAATTAGTGTTTCTTCTTTAAGGCTTGACAGTATTTCAAAAATTAACCATAGAATGAAAACCCTTTATTAAAATTTGAAAAAAAAATTGATTAATCTAAAATTACTTCATATTTTAGTTAGTGAAGAAGGATATGCCCAATGTAACAAACTCGCCTGACGGTGAACTTCCACGACTACACTGCCATAATCTTGTAAAGCTACTGGGACAGTATGTGACGTCTGTTTCCTCGAACCACACCCAATCAGAAGACGGTGACATCCAACCCGGGGATGACCAGAATAATGCTCTTATGTACATCGTCGTTGTCCTGTTGTTCTACTCTTGTGGAATTGCAATCATGATGATAAAGTACATGCGAAAAGAAGCCAAAGAACAAGAGGAATGCAAGATGTATCGTCGTTACATCAACGCAGCTCACGAGCAATATCTCAACTCCATGAACAGAGCCCGGCTAGCCAATCGGTTAGCACTTCAAGCATTGAACACCGTGAACGCCATCCCACAGACAACACAGCTCGGGAGTAAAGTGACATTTGTTTGAAAATAAACAATCACAGTTATCTGGAAGATCGAATAGCTGTTTTCTAGCTTAGAGTTTTAAATATTGTTATTTAAACCATTCATGTATTAACTTCTCAAGTTCTTTACCGATTTTATCTGAGATAAATATTGTGCCATTATGAAACAATTATACTTGATAAAACTTATTTTTTGTATCGGTGCCACCCTAATTATTACTAAATCTATAAAGTTTCTAAAATAAACAATCCTCTTTTAAAATTTAAGTACTAGGAACGTGAATTAATTTAAATGTTCTGTTACATTTTTTACAAACAATGACAATTTTACCTCAGAATGAAGCTCATTGTAACTTCAAATAACAGACTAGTTTACGAAAATTAAAATAGTACTAAACAAGAATAAATACTCCAGTAATAAATTTTATTTATAAGCTACTGTAATTCAAAGAAGTAAAACTTATCATCACCTAATAGAAAGTTATTCAATTTGTTAGATATCTTTATTTGATTTGCATAATTATAAGTAAATCTACAACTACCCATGTTTAAAAGCACTTATCAGAACATACAAGAACAGTATAAAACAAGAGGGAATCCTCAACAGCCGCGGCACTTGAAATTCTTTTAGACAGGAATAGAGTCAATTAATCTACGAGACCTTTCTTTCCCCATTTTTATTAGCTATATCCCCCCAGTGGCACAGCGGTATGTCTGCGGACTTACAATGCTAGAAACCGGGTTTCGATACCCGTGGTGGGCAGAACGCAGATAGCCCTTCATACTTTTTGCTCATAGCTCTGTCATCTCTTGACAGATCTGAAATCTAATTACAGTTATGGACTCAGAAGATCAAACCATTTCAATTGATGTTTTGATCACGCCCAAGCTCTGACAGTTTAATTTACCATAATCCTGCCTAAAAGGATTTCAATTTGAGGGTAGGCTGGTAGAGATCCTGATGGGTAATAAAATCGAATCGGATATATACACGCCCCACGCTTGCTATTGCTAGCGCACAAAAATATAGCTTTTGTTTGTAAATAAGCACTACTTGTAAAAAAACAAAACAAAACACTCAGAGCCGCTATGCCACAGCTAAGTATTGAGAAATTGAATTCACACTTTTATTTTAGGCCTAAAGCCTTCGATTGATTGAAAACAATAATTCTATGACCATACAAAATAGTTTATTTTTCATAATATGTTAAAAATGGATTCCACCTATTAGATCTCAAATCTGTCAAGAGATGACGTAGCTATGAGCTAAAGGTTTGTACTTGAAAAAAACAAAAAAAACTCGGAGCCAATTTAAAAGCCAATATGCCGCGGCTAAAAAAAGCAGCCGCCTAACTGCTCAGCAGTAAGTCTAAAGGCATAAAAAAAATTCATTATGCAGCTTTGTGCTTAACAAAAACAAAGACAAGCATTATAAAAAGTTGTACTTGCAATTACAAGTGACTCACAACTAAACGAGAATCAGAGAGTTGTGATCAGAGACAAATTTTATACATTTAGGGTTAGCTGGAGGATTTCTGTCTTTAGATGTACAGTAATCAATACAAAGTTTTAAAAAGATGAATCCACAATAACTAATGAGTAGAAGACTTAACAAGACAAGAGTAATGTTACGACAGCGGAAGTCACGTGACGCTAGTAACACGTCATGATATTCTCGAAGGATCTTGACTTTTCCAGGCGCCCTCTATTTTATTTTTTTTTATATAAGCCCGGCAAATTAAGCGGAGATATAATTGCAGATAGGGAGATATAGAGACAGATAATCGAGTCAAGTCGTAAGAAAATTGCGTGAATCGTTGTGAATTATAGCGTGTGTTTAAGTGAAAGTGACCGTGGAAATTCTGTGTATTGCAAAGTTGTATTGAGAAAGAATAAACTAGTTTTATTTAAGAAAGGACTTGTATCGCTGAAGTTCCTCGGGAAGAATTTCTACCGGAAATTAACAAACGACCAAAGACGTAACAGTAATATTAGATAGAACTGTATAGATCTTTTTATCTTGAGGACTCTGAAACAGCTAAAAAACTCCAATAATTAGCCCCCTACTCGTGATTTGTGAAATTCACCACTGGTTTTGGATTCATTAACCCTAATGTTGGGGTTAAGCGTGGAGAATTTTCTTCCTATGTAAGAAACCCACTTCCCTCTATCGGATATCTAGTTTGAGTTAAATCACTTTCCTTGTTACATTAATTGGTGGCTAACTGCTCTAGTAATCTGTTTATAACCTGATGAGTGGAATTACAATCCTTCCTGCTGCCGAGTATATAAAATAGGCATTGGTTTAGAATTATCTCCAGGAATATCAATCAAATATGCAATAACAATCGCATGATCAACTCAAAGCTTACTACAATCACAGGAGACATCGTAGAAATCATTCTCGTGTATTTGTTACAGCCATCCCTGCAGTGGAATCCTCTTCACCCATCCAGGGTTATTTCATTATAGACTGCTTTTCTAGTCTTCATACTAAAACGTAATTTGTGTGGTACTTATGTACTTACATAAAAAAAACCGAATTCTATTTCTCAAATAAATTGTCAAATGTAAATTAGATTGTGTACTTTAGCGTGCAGGTAATTATTTTGTTCATGAAAGAGATAAAAAGCTATAAACTTTTCTTCTGCTACTAACAAGACTATAGATAGAAAAATTACAAGACACATTATTAGGTACACGAGTGGAACAAATGACATGAGAGATTTTTCAGTGCGTCAAATAGGTTACCATGGCAATCATGCAAGAAGCCAAGAGCCTATGGAGTCAGGCAGTAAACACAGCTGCCATCTTGGCGCTGTATAAAGACATAAGTGGAAACAGACTAAAATTAAATCCACTTAAAAGGTTAATTGCATAATTTCAATGTCTTACTACTTAGAGTTGGATGAAAACAGTATGGTTTGTATAAAACAAACAATATTTTATAATTTTAAATAGAGATTATGCAAAATGAAATATGATAATACAAAAAGAGTTGGAATTTTGTGCTGAATTAGTTTTTATTTTTTTAGCTTCTATCGAGACAAGTACTATGTAGTAGACTTATGCTCAAAACTCGTCGTTCACTGTGTTCCCTACTTTATCAAAATGTGTAGAATATTGTTGTATCTTCCTTCTTTACAATATTGTTTCAACAGAGCTTAAAAGAGACACAAAGTCTTCGTTTATTATGTTCCCTACTTTATCAAAATGTGTAGAATATTGTTGTGTCTTCCTTCTTTACAATATTGTTTTAACAGAGCTTAAAAGAGACACAAATTCTTCGTTTATTATGTTCCCTACTTTATCAAAATGTGTAGAATATTGTTGTGTCTTCCTTCTTTACAATATTGTTTTAACAGAGCTTAAAAGAGACACAAAGTTTCGTTTATTATGTTCCTTACCTCATCAAAATGTGTAGGATATCGTTGCGCCCTCTTTTGTTATAATATTTTGTAACATAATTTCAAAATATATTAAACAAAGACCATACATTTCTGTCTTACCATTTGTAATATCCAAAGACACTGACAACTAAAGTATTTTAAAGAAATCATGTATCCATATGTAACATATTAACCGTAAGGGTATTTAAAATTCAATACTTATTCGACATTAAAGAAACAAATGTGTGAAATACAGATATTTTTGTGTTGTAGGCCTAATTGACTAATACTTTGAAAGTGTTAATTATTTGTCGTCCATGTGATCGCTTAGTTTTTTTGTTTTTTTTTTATAAAGTCAAGGCCAAACTGTAGTCTTTATTTAATTAATTAAATACAAAGCGGACTTGTACTTGTTGCATCACCTAACTTAGCTATGATTAAGTAGACTAATTTATGTGAACAATCCAGTGGTGGAGTAATGATGATCATTAGCACTCAATGAGATACTCATGTTATTTAGGATATGGTTTTTATTAGCAATATTGTTACGACAGCGGAAGTCACGTGACGCTAGTAACACGTCATGAGCTTCTAGAAAATTCATGTCCCTTCGTCAAGCCTCGAGTGTTTACTAGATGTGCGGTATTCTTGTATATAAGACCGCCAAGAAGTGACGGCAACAATGTACTTGAATTGCAGAAAGAGATAAGACGAACAACTGAGTCAAGCGCGTGAGTCGTTCGTTGTGAATTATAGCGTTTGTTTAAGTTATAGCGTGACTGTGGAAATTA